ACACTGCTTATGGGCATGTAAAATGGTACAACCACTGTGGAGAGAACGCATGGTAAAACAACCCATAGCACACGCATGCCACAGAATACTCCTATTCAACAATAAAAAGGAATAACCTATTGATACACTGAACAATTTGTGTGAATTTCAGGGGAATTATGCTGATGGAAAAAGACAGCCCCCAAAGGTTACATACTGAGTGATTCCATTCATGTAACATTATAGAAATGACAAAATGATAGAGATGGAGAACAGATCAGACGTAACAGGGAATAAGCAATGGAAAAAAGAAGGAGGTGGCCATGTCTATAAAAAGGGACTATGGGTGCTATCTGTGTTTCAACTGTAGTGATGGTCAAAGGATTTCGAATGTGATAAAATTAAATAGAATTAAATGTACATATGGACGGCACCGTGGCTCACTAGGCTAATCCTCTGCCTTGTGGCGCCGGCACACCGGGTTCTAGTCCTGGTCGGGGCGCTGGATTCTGTCCTGGTTGCCCCTCTTCCAGGCCAGCTCTCTGCTGTGGCCAGGGAGTGCAGTGGAGGATGGCCCAAGTGCTTGGGCCCTGCACCCCATGGGAGACCAGGATAAGTACCTGGCTCCTGCTTCAGATCAGCGCGGTGCGCAGGCCATAGTGCACCGGCCACAGCGGCCATTGGAGGGTGAACCAACGGCAAAGGAAGACCTTTCTCTCTGTCTCTCTCTCTCACTGTCCACTCTGCCTGTCAAAAAAAATTTTACATACATACTCATACACATTAGAGTGCATGTAAAATAGGGGAAATCTAAATATCAGATCAATGGATTTTTATCAGTGCCACTGACCAGGTTGTGTTATCCGTCTATAGTTGTACAAGGTGGTATCACTGGAAAAAATGGGTGAACTATATACATAAACTCTCTCTGTGTCTTATTTCTCATAATTAGAAGTGACTCGACAGTTATCTCAAATTAAAAAAAAATTAGATAAATGGTCTAGAGATATCAGGCAAAGAACTGAAAACTACAATATATCCATGTTATGGATTATTATGCAGTTATTTTAATATTACTTTTGAATTATTTATAAAAGTTAAAAATAACTAATAATAAATTAGAGTTTATTATTTTCTTAGTAGACTTTCCATAAGGTGTTGTTGAGTGAGACAAGTAAGGTTCAGAAAGTCTACTTTCTTGAGTAGTGTTAACTTCAGGTTGAATAATTTCCTACTGAATAATATGCTGCAGTGCCTTAAGAATTATAAGATTCCAATAAAGTATTTTAAGAAAAGTGAGAAATATTTTTAAGCATAATATTAAAGTAAAAAAAGAGATTTTTCTGACCTGAATCAGGATCCTTTTAGAGGTTTGACTCTTGAGAAAATACTTTAACAGAACCACAAACACCAGTCAGGGTCTCTGTTTTCTTCCTCCTTCTCCCTCACCACCCACCTCTACTCCTTCCTTTCTCAGCTCACTTTCCTCCTGCTTTATATTTACCAGAGAACTATTGAGTAAAACTGAAAGATTGAATAATTAGGATAAAATTCAAGCACTCTCTCTATGGATTTGTAAAGTGTTCAATAACCAGTATTTTTACCAAGCTATGTTTTTATACAACAATTGGAACCTTGAAATACCCTTGCCTCATTATATTCATTAAGAAACAAAACTTCAGGAAAGCCATTTCCCATGTTATTCATTCATTTAACAAAGATGATTTAATACCTAGAAGTTGTATGATGCTCTACTTGGGCATGCTGTCACTGGTTGGCATTTCCAGTTAAATGATAGGATTTTTGGAGCTGGCCATCAGCATGTACCTTGCCAAGCCACAATGTTACTGCCATATTCACTCAAATTTTGTGTAGCTTATTCACCTACTCATAGCTTGGAGACTGGAAGGAACCTTGTAGATGTGATTGTAGAAGTTACAGTTGAGACTTAGCTTTAACTCTGCCTTGCTTCAGCTTTTAGAGCTGGCCAGAGACAAATAGACTCTTGTTTTCAGTTTCTCATGCAGGTAACGTTGAGAAGCTAAGATCCATTAAAATTGACTCAAAAACTGCTATAAACTCCTTGATATTCTTAAAAGATCTAGAACCAATCAGAAATAAATTATAGTTAAGTACAATACAATCCACTCACAAAGAAGATGAGACAGGATGATGAGCAAAAATCCAGACCTGAAAATTCTATTAAAAAAAAGTCTTCTTATTGTTTACAGACCTTGTCTATACTCATGAGGAGCAGGGATCTTTTTACTTACTACTTGTTGAATTCTTTATTTAGTGAGGGATTATAAAGTAAATTAAAAGTATGTCATCACAAAAATTAAAAGAAAAGTAAGAAAGGAAGAAAGAGGGAGAGTGGGAAAGAGGAAGAGAAAGAGAAAAGGTGGAAAGTATCATGTTCTGTAAACTGTATATATGAAATGCATGAAACCCATTCTCTCTATATAAATAAGTAAATAAGAGATTTCAGAGACTTGGGATGGTGTTAAAACATATAAAAAATTTAATATAGAAGGACTTGATGTAGCTTGATTGTGAAATGAATAATTTTGTTTAGCAGGTAGTTGCTGAATCCTTACTATGTGCAATATCATTAAGACATGTCCCCCACTAACAAGAAATATCATCATATGCAAATAAAAACTAATGTAATACAGAAAATATTTATGATAATATAGGGTCTAAATGTCATTTAAGATAAAGGAAGAGGATTTATTCTTGTTTGGGAGGAATTAAAGAGATTTCATAAAGGAAAAATAGCATCTGACCCAAAAGCAACAAATGGAAAAAAATAAGGGGACATAAGATAACCAAGCAATGCACATTCTAGGCTATATTTGGAGACCAGCAAATAATCCCACCTGGCAGGAGCACTGGGGAAGGGGAAATATGTTGGATGGTTGGCAGCCAGTCATGAAGACCCCAAAATATCATCAAAGGACTGAGTTTATTTTGAAACCAACAGAAAGCCATGAAAGAATTTTGAAAGAGAAAGTAATAATGAAAAGTTTATGTCAGAGAGATTATTCTGATACCATGTATAAAACAGATTTTTAAAATGTCAGAGGTAGGAAGACACATATAGAAGCCATTGTTGTGTTACACAAGGTGGGCCTGAACTAAGACAGAAAAATCTAAGTAAATGGCAGTTCCAGAAACATCAAACAAGAAGTAGAGTCAATGATGTGGGTGACACTATGATGAGAGATGACTGGAATTTGGAAACTGTTGTCAGCAGTGCACTAGGGGCCCAGGTGTTCTGAGGTCTAATGTTTATGTGTCAGGAAGATTGACAATGTCCTCAAAAAGAGAAAGGAAACAGACAAAGATGAGGTTTGAAGAAAGAAGAAAAGCAATGTTTCATTTATTCAATAAGTGTCTGGTGGGCATTTACATGTGCCAGGCATTGTTCTGGGGGTAAATGAGAGAATTAGCTTTAATTCCTGAAGCACTTTGTGGGGAAGAGGCACTGTTTCCAATCTATGTGACTCCAAAGGCAGAGCTGGAAGAAATGAGTAGGAGTAAAGTAGGAAGTAAAATATCTTTCGAATAAATGGAAGATTCTTCATAAGTGGTGAGAGCTCTGTTCCAGGCAGCACTGGAGCGCAGAGGTTGAATGGTATTAAGAACATTAGAACAAGGGGATTCCTCCATAGGGAAGTTAGACTAAGCTTTTTGTGAGTTCTCTCCAATCTTAAGAGTCTATTCTTTCCAATGATCTGGTCCTCTGAGTTCTATTATTAACCCCTGGTTTTTCCCAGTTATTAAATAAATTATGCGATCTGTTTGCCATTCAGTAAAACTAACACATTTACATCTGTTATTCTTGAATTATTTTTGGTTAGAGCGCTTGTTCTTTATTTAAAATTTTTTATCCAGCAAATTTACCTTTCTAGTTATTTTAGAATAGTAACCCCTGGTAGATTAGGTTATAAATATCAGAGGGGAACAGGGTTTCTTATGACTAATAATATTTTTTGTTTGGAAGAAGCCCTAGCAAATGAAAAATGAATTATCTTGACTAAGATTGCACTGCAGTTTCTGTGTCTTGCTGTAATTCAAAAAGGGAGAAAAAAAATCTTAGAGAGGTTCATTTTGATACAGCATGGTAAAGAAATGGAACAAATATTCTCCAAACACTGTAAGCTTTAGATCAGAAACATTTATCTGTACTGCATTTTTTAAAAGAAGAAAAGGCAAGAAAGGAAAGCAAAAAAAGGAACCCGGAGTGAGCTCTGTTATAAGCCATAGTTCAAGCTTTGCATTTCCTGGTGTCTTTTGAAACGTAAAATTCCACAACAAATAGCTGGGTAACGTATAACCAGTATGAAGATTCAATTCAGATTTAAGCACTTTGGTTTGCTTTTGAGTCTTGCTATTTTCTGCATTTGTTTTGACTGCTCTCATCATTCAAGATTGACGCTTGGATGGGTGTGTAGGAGGAAGCAGCAGCAGCAGGCTTACAGCTTGCAGACAAAAAAATCTGCCTTATCTGATGGCTATTATTGAAAATGCGAGGTGTAGCCTGGGCTGGGTAATGAAGGGGAGCGAGCGAGGGGGAGCAAGGAGCATGGAGCTGCATACTGATGAGTGTAGGAGTACTTGATAAAAAGAATTCTGGCTGCTGGCCGTGCATTGCTCATTGTGGAGTACTCCAACAATCACATAGAACGCAGACCAGCCTAAGCTGACAGCTTGATATGCCTTCTTCTGCTGCCTGGTTTTGGGGGCTGTGTGACGTACTGGTCGGTAGTAAAGATTAATATGTAAGAAATGTGGAGCTAGGATCAAGTCATACTCCACAGCCTGCCTGGCAAACTATGTTTTACTTCTGACTTTGCTGTCTCGCTGAGAACATTAATCTGTCAAGCTGGCGGGCTCCTTTGATAGCAACTTTCCCAGGAGCATGATGTGGCAATGCCACCTCTCAGCCCAGGACTACCGCTATTACCCCGTGGACGGCTACTCCCTGCTTAAACGCTTCCCTCTTCATCCTCTTACAGGACCCAGATGCCCTGTCCAAACAGTGGGACAATGGTTGGAAAGCATTGGGCTACCTCAGTACGAGAACCACCTGATGGCTAATGGATTTGACAATGTGCAGTTTATGGTAAGACGCTCTCTGTGTCCACGGAGCTGCCTTTTGTCTGTCTTTGCTTCTTATGTGTCTTACACGGCTCAGAGGCAGCCTGATTTGCACCGAGATCGGTCAGTTTTTTATATGTAACTGCATCAGAAAATCGGATGCCCTGAGGGCTGAACTTACTGTGTACATATAGACACTTGCTGAAAAATGAGGTCTGTCTGCATCCATATACATGTGTGTTATATGAATGAACCAGTGAGAGTACTATTTATAGGCAGTGAAAGAAGATGAACATTTATATTCTCTGTCATTCTTTGTGTAATTTTTTTTATAAATTTGTAATCTTAGAATACCCAGTTAGGTTTTATCACTCTTCAGCTGATTCTAGATGCCTGAAACATTATTTCACTCGAGCATCAGCATCCCGTGATTAATTAGACAATTTGTTATGTTGATGATGTGAAGATCATTTTTTTTTCCTTATAATTGTTCAATAAGCAGTTTCAGTCATGAGGCTGACCTTCAGTTCATTAGCAAACTGCTTCAGATGGTCAGTTATGGAGAGCATTCACTTACTTACATATGCCGATTGAAAAGCAATGAAGTATTGTTTATTACCTTGGGTGGAAAACAACACTATGGTCAATTAGCTGCCAGTGTTTAGAAAGCGCGGTTGATGGACTAAGTATGTCGATGGACTTCTGAACCCTGGTCTACACGCAGTCTAAACCTGGTGTGTGCAAACTTCCCACCGTGATGCATATAGGTGAGGAAGCAGGGTAGGAAGGTGTGCAGACCGACAATCCAGCGTCTTGATCATTTCCATACCTCCCCCAGTGCTCATCAGCTCCCCTTGTTAAGCTACGTCACAACCCTTATTATCTTCCCTTGCCTTTAAGTTCCTATCACACATATCACTGATTCCCGGGTTTAGAGAGACCTTCACAATATAGGCATATAGCACAATCTTGGTTTACAGGAATAATGCATCTCTGTTCCTAAATAAAATGCTGGAGTTGACACTGCAGCTCACTAATACCAGACTGATATACTGACTGCTAGTCAGGTCTTTTTATTTCCACCTGATATTATTTTTTTCCAAGATTGATTTGACTATTGTAAATTTGAAGATTATTAAAAATTTAAACTGCTCCTTCTCTAAAATTGTACATGTCCAATAGTTTTTAAAAATATATAAATACTGAAAAATATGAGCTCTAAGTAATTGCATGCATAGATCCTCTTATGAGCTTTCTGTTATTTTATTTTTTATGATGAGCTATTCAGCTACTGCTGTTTTTCTTGTATTCATCAAGCACTGTCACTCATTAAATAGACAAGATATTGTGGGTATTGAAATAGGAAAAAAGTGAAAGTTCTTGAAGTGCTGTGAAGTCTTGGGAAACCAAGCAGGTTTAGGACAGACCAAGTATGCTGAACATATGGCACTAAGAATTAGAGGAATTATCAAACAATGAAAATATTTCCATAACTATTTATGTTTACTGCACATCTCTGTGTGACTTATTCTTTCCTGTGTCTCTACTCAAAATGGGGCTTTTGCATTCCCACCCTCAAACCCTTGTCCAGATTTATTCTGGTCCCATAAGAAGTTAGGTCTTTGGGTTCCCTGAATCATTTGACCGTACTGAAAAACTTTAATTCAGCTAAATTTTCTTCTGAATGTTAAACAGTTATAAGTAAATATAATCCTTTTTCAAAAGCCTCAAACTGAAAGGTTAATAAAACATCAAACATGTTTTAAACAAACATTTGGGGAGAGATCATTAAAAAAAAATCTATGAGTAAATTATGTACAAGGACTACAAAATGTATCTGAAATGTAAAATGCTGGACAAATGTGACAAAGGTCTAGTAGACTATTGTCTCCCTATTAAGTTCTAAGTATTATGTATAATTTTCCAGAAAATAAGAAGACATTGTAAATTTAGATTAGCCAATCAAGTACAAGTACTTTCTTCATGAGATTGACTTTAGAATAAAAATAACATTTTGATTTATTATTTAGAGGAGTTAATTAATTATAAAAATGCAGTAAATCACAAAACCTTGTTATCGATTGGTGGTTTACATGCTGTTATACACCATTTATTTGCCACTAGTAACAGAAGATGTGAATGACTACCTTTATAAAAATATTTATTGATCTCCATAAATCTTATTTATTTAATTCTGAACTTAATTAAAGTATAATAATATGATTGTCTAACTTTAAGAACCAGATTTCATTAACGTGGTGATAAATGTTAGACTTGCTTGATCTTCAGTCGGTATCATATTCTAGCTTTTGTTTTTCTTGAAGCACATTCTGACCTGCATTTATTCATCCTGTTGCCTAAGCAACAGGCACCACACTCCTATTAACTATGATGTGCTACAGGTCTTATTAGCTTTTTAGAGCAAGACAGTAGGCATCAAGAGGATATAATTAATGTTGGTTGAAACATCATAGTACATCTATACATAGACATACTCTGTTTAGCAATCATTCTCGGGAGTTAATTTTTCTTTAATCAGTATTTCATTAATGAGTGTGAGTTTAAAGGGTTCATATGAATAACTTTCAAAGTATTTATTTAAAGCTTAAAATTTTTTTTTGCTAAATCTATTCTATATACCTTCATATTAAAACATGATATACAGATGATTTATCTATGTGGTTATGATTTACTTTAATAAAGATTATTTACATCCATTCCTAGATGTAAGTTAGAAAAAAAAAAGGACCTTTATTTGTTTTAAAATATCTTTCAATTATTGCTACTCTTTCAGGCTTTTAATACTTATCCTTGATTTTACAGATGTATGAATTTCTCATATCTTAAAGTCAAAATTCTGAATTTTTAACATTTGAATTATAGTTTGCATAATAATTATGAACACAGTTATTCCCTTTGGTATCCTTAAAAATGTAAAATAACCAGATGTTGGTACAATCAAAGAATAATTGCGAAAGTTTATCAGGTCATCAGACTTTAGGAAAATGTCATTTATGTTGAAATCCAAAGCCCCTTTCACAAAAGAATCCTGTGTCTGAGGGCTTCCCTGGGTCCCCTCTGCCTGTTCATCCTTTCGGAAGCCAGACCCCAATGCTCCTGTCCTGCTTAGGCAGGGACTTCCTAGCCTTTGGGATTGCTACGGTGGTTCTCTGACACCACATTCACTTTCCCTGCATTTCCAACATGCAGCATGTGTCTATGTTTCAACATTACTCTTTTCCTCCAGGTAGTTTAGGCACGGAGGGATTACTATAGAAAATACACATGCTTATCTATTTATTATATTGTTTTACCTTCATATTTCTTTTTTCAAGTATGATGACTGCTTCTTAAATTTAAACCTCAAGGCTATCTGTTCCTGTCTCGATGACTTTGCTCACTTGGCCACTCTCCCAGTATCTCCTGGATGGCTATTTCTTTTCCTTCCTCTCTTTTATCCTTAAAAATCTAACTCAATTCCTGCCTTCTTTAAGTAGCTTTCCTCAATGACTCCAGTCCATGGCAGACTCTTTTCTTTGAACTCATGCAGTAGTTACATTTGCTAGGAAATTTTGGTATGTCTCCATTATTCTCTCTAGAATTAGGAGTTATGGTTTTACTTGTGTATGTGGACACTTGAAAAGGTACATGGGAAATGCTATTAAAGGGTAACTTTATTTCCGTGCAAAAATTTCGAAATCCCTGCACAATGGAATTTTCAAATAGTTCATGAAAATTGCTGGGAAAAAAGTGCATGTCTTTCAAAAAATTTTTGGCAGAAAACAAACATCATTTAATTCCATTTTCCATGAACTTTTTGAAGTATCCTTGTTATCTTGTCTCCTCACGTAAACTGGAAACTTCTTAAGTCCAAGTTATGTTTATTCAAGTTCCTTACCTTTTTCACAACTCCTAGTGTAGTGCTATATTCACAGAAGTCAGCAAGTGAAAACACAAATGTGCAGGAGATATAGTTTCAGATGGACCTCCGGGTTCATTTTTTAAACTGAAAGCTTTGTTTTGCCATTAGGAAACCAGAGCATTATTACTCTTCACTCATTCGTATGGCACTCACTCCTTAAATATATTCTATGTGCTAGGGACACTGTTAAGTACTAGAGATGTAGCAGTGAATGAGATCCTTACCCTCAAGCATGGTATGGCGCTGTTTTTAGACCTGTCATTACTTGGCATGCACATCATACACGTTCCTACCTATCATAGCATGGAGTAAAGGAAGATAAAGATACTGATAGCACCAAAACACTAGCAGTGTTATGGCAGATTTATAGTCATAAGACTGTATTAAGAAGTTTATGTTACCTGGGAGAGTACTGATTCATAGATTCACTATGATAATGAGCTGACAGTTGTATTTGTAAACTCTAACCAAAAAGGAGCAAGAATGAAATTATACTGCTCATTATTGTTAGTATCTTCTGTTGATGTGAGATGATTTGACCATTATTAAAATGTATAAGGTTCAGCCTTCACAGAGTAAGAAATAAAAATAATACTGACAGCCCTATGTGAATTGGCATTTTTGTACACTTGAGTGGTTAATATTCATAAAGGATTTGCTGAAGGTCAAAGTGAATAATACCTATTAGATACTGAAGTAGAACCACAGTGCTCTTGGAAGCCATCCATTTGAACAAAGAATTTGAGCAAGATTGAACCTTTTAGCTGCATATTTATTCAAAACTTTTTCTTCCCATTTTTGTGGTGCATTTTACATGGTAACAGACGTACATCTCTTTTCCATTTTTTTCTGTAATAAGACTAAGATTTGAAGTTGACCAGATAAAATGATTTTTAGTATCTTAGTTGCGTATCATGATCCATGTCAGTTAAACTTATGAAGTAGAAAATATATTGTTCCTAAAGGGTAAGAATTATCACCCCTTGATGATTTCTTGTTCAAAGCTTTAGGAAAATTTCATGAAGTTACCAAGATTTAAAGATGCAGAGAAAAATACCTGCCACACTCCCTACGCCTTCCTGTTTCTGAAACAGGCTAGATTC